TGTTTACATGATATACACAGTGCTTCAGACACATGCTAGTACATGCAAAAAAAAAAATCTACATATGGGTCACTACAAGTGGCCGTGGTAGGGTAATTGGTCTTGGGGTGGGTGGTGGGCAGGCCCTACGATATCAGGAATTTTACCCTGAAATTCCTGATTTTCAGGGTTTTTTCTTTACCTACCCTGAAAATCCAGTGTTCAGCTTTTCCTAGGGCTGATTTTTCAGCCTTCACATGCCACATGACTCTGAACTTTCAGCAATTTTTTTGAAGTGACACTGATGCCTTTACGTTGTAACGAGTTTGACCCTGAAAGCGAATCCTACTAGGTACGAGTGTTTTTACTCGTACAACTCGCTTTCAGGGTCAAACTCGTTACAACGTAAAGGCATCAGTGTCACTTCAAAAAAATTGCTGAAAGTTCAGAGTCATGTGGCATGTGAAGGCTGAAAAATCAGCCCTAGGAAAAGCTGAACACTGGATTTTCAGGGTAGGTAAAAAATAAACCCTGAAAATCAGGAATTTCAGGGTAAAATTCCTGATATCGTAGGGCTTGGTGTTCACCATTCAGCCTGTTTTATCAAGTAGTGAATGCATGTACCGAATACCATTCTGCTGAACTACAATATCAGGCATCTGCTTTTTGCAGGAAATCAGAGCACTTGTCATGTCAACAATTCTGGTAAAATGTATGCCAGGTGCTTCGGCGGTTAAGGATATGACCGTGACAGACACCACCCCTCTCCAATGTGGCTTGATTACATCTGCTACTCATCCCTAGATGGTACGGTAGTATATGCCTTGAGGCGGCTCACAAATCACGACAGATTACTCGTCCGACAGGCGGAAACCTGTCGCAGTCTTCCGCGCGCATCATACTGCACCAGTGGGAAGGAGTATCTAAGCCCGGCCAGCACTCGATTGGGCCGTTGATGCAGGGCTACTACATCCTCCATAGTTCCTTTCGCGCGTTCTTTGAAGATGCGGCCGTACTCTTTTCGATGTCTTTCCACAATTACGCCGGTATGAGTGTCGTTTGAAGCAGGATCTGTTAGGCAGAGAATGTGCAGGCAGAGAATGTTCGAGCATGTGATACATTTCACGGGTGTAGGACATTCGATAGAAAGACAACCAGCACTTCAAATCATGCACACATCACACGCTCACCCAAACCTTGTGTCATACCTGCTGCTAGGCCCGCCTCAATAAGTCGGCTGGTCGCTTGGGGTGCTGACTCAACCAAAAAGTGAATCACATCATCTGTCGTCGCCATCGTGTCCCCAAGGTACAATGCCGAGAGCCCGACGCGGAGAACACACAGAAGTGGCCGCATGTGGACCGAAATATTGACCGTTCCTCTCTGGGCATCCTTACATGCTTGTATTGCAGGATGCCCTCCCGCACCTACACCAACCCCTGCCATCTGAAACCATGTCAGCGCATACCCCGAGGAGAGGAAGGAGATGGGTGGTTAGGGCGTTGGCACAGCAGGGACAAGGATTAGGGCATCTATAGAAGTCTGCAAAAATGTGCAAATGCACGTCATGCAGCACCGAACGGTGAGTGCACGCAATAGAGAAAGGGCCCAAAGCACCAGCAACTCTGGTTGCTGCTGCCTGGGGACTGAACGGGTGGGTGCATGGTGGTGAAACCAGGCCCAAGGCAGCTGCATCCAGAGATGCTGCTGCCTTGGGACAGAACAGGTGGGTTTACAGTGGTGAAAGCAAGCCCAAGGGAGCAGCAAATCTGGTTGTTGCTGCCTGGGGACTGAACACGTGGAGGCATGGTGCTGAAACCAGGCCCAAGGCAGCAGCATCCAAAGTTGTTGCTGCCTTGGGACAGAACAGGTGGGTTTACAATGGTGAAAGCAAGCCCAAGGCAGCAGCATCCAAAGTTGCTGCTGCCTTGGGACAGAACAGGTGGGTTTACAGTGGTGAAAGCAAGCCCAAGGCAGCAGCAACTCTGGCTGTTGCTGCCTGGGGACTGAACAGGTGGAGGCATGGTGCTGAAACCAGGCCCAAGGCAGCAGCATCCAGAGATGCTGCTGCCTTGGGACTGAACAGGTGGGTTTACAATGGTGAAAGCAAGCCCAAGGCAGTAGCAACTATGGTTGTTGCTGCCTGTGGATTGAACAGGTGGAGGCATGGTGCTGAAACCAGGCTCAATGCAGCAGCATCCACGGTTCCTGCTGCCTTGGGACCGAACAGGTGGGTTTACAATGGTGAACGCAAGCCCAAGGCAGAAGCAACTCTGGTTGTTGCTGGCTGGGGACTGAACAGGTGGAGGCATGGTGCTGAAACCAGGCCCAAGACATCAGCATCCAGAGGTGCTGCTGCCTTGGGACAGAACAGGTGGGTTTACAGTGGTGAAAGCAAGCCCAAGGCAGTAGCAACTCTGGTTGTTGCTGCCTGGGGACTGAACAGGTGGAGGCATGGTGCTGAAACCAGGCCCAAGGCAGCAGCATCCACGGTTGCTGCTGCCTTGGGACAGAACAGGTGGGTTTACAGTGGTGAAAGCAAGCCCAAGGCAGCAGCAACTCTGGTTGTTGCTGCCTGGGGACTGAACAGGTGGAGGCATGGTGCTGAAACCAGGCCCAAGGCAGCAGCATCCACGGTTCCTGCTGCCTTGGGACTGAACAGGTGGGTTTACAATGGTGAAAGCAAGCCCAAGGCAGCAGCAACTCTGGTTGTTGCTGCCTGGGGACTGAACAGGTGGAGGCATGGTGCTGAAACCAGGCCCAAGGCAGCAGCGTCCAGAGGTGCTGCTGCCTTGGGACAGAACAGGTGGGTTTACAGTGGTGAAAGCAAGCCCAAGGCAGCAGCAACTCTGGTTGTTGCTGCCTGGGGACTGAACAGGTGGAGGCATGGTGCTGAAACCAGGCCCAAGGCAGCAGCATCCAGAAGTGCTGCTGCCATTGGGACAGAACAGGTGGGTTTATAGTGGTGAAAGCAAGCCCAAGGCAGCAGCATCCAAAGATGTTGCTGCCTTGGGACAGAACAGGTGGGTTTACAGTGGTGAAAGCAAGCCCAAGGCAGCAGCAACTCTGGTTGTTGCTGCCTGGGGACTCAACAGGTGGAGGCATGGTGCTGAAACCAGGCCCAAGGTAGCAGCATCCAGAGGTGCTGCTGCCTTGGGACTGAACAGGTGGGTTTACAGTGGTGAAAGCAAGCCCAAGGCAGTAGCAACTCTGGTTGTTGCTGCCTTGGGACTGAACAGGTGGAGGCATGGTGCTGAAACCAGGCCCAAGGCAGCAGCATCCACGGTTGCTGCTGCCTTGGGACAGAACAGGTGGGTTTACAATGCTGAAACCAGGCCCAAGGCAACAACATCCAGAGATGCTGCTGCCTTGGGACAGAACAGGTGGGTTTACAGTGGTGAAAGCAAGCCCAAGGCAGCAGCAACTCTGGTTGCAGCTGTGTGCCTTTGCCTCGTGACACGTGAGCGTGATAGGACCCTCAAGGGAGTAGCGACCATTGTCGCTGTACTATAGTCGCAGTAGCAGAGAATTGGGCACTCACCTGGGCTATCCTCTCTAGCGATCCACAGGGGCGTGTGCTGCACCTTGCTCCCCGTCACTCCGCAGTATCCGCTTTAGTTGTGCGCGCGGTGGTCGTAGCCAGGTCACCTGGAGGGCGCGCTTCTCGTCGCCGGGAACGCGGGCTCCGCGTCGTCTGGAACGCGGGCTCCGCGTCGTCTGGAACGGGGACTCCGCGTCGCCGGGAACGCGGGTTCCGCGTCGTCTGGAACGCGGACTCCGCGTCGTCTGGAACGCGGGCTCCGCGTCGTCTGGAACGCGGGCTCCGCGTCATCTGGAACGCGGACTCCGTGTCGCCGGGAACGCGGGCTCCGCGTCGACTGGAGGGCGGGATCCGATCCGCCTGAAATGCGAGATCCGTGTCGCGAGGAATGCGGGCTCCGCGTCGCGAGGAATGCGGGCTCCGCGTCGCACAGAACGCGAGCAACTAAACGTGGCGAGCGAGTGCTGCTCGGCGCTTGGTGCGCGAGCCGAATCTAGTCCGCTTTCTTCCCCCTGGCTAGTCACAACGACTCCAATACACTCGTCGTTTCTTGTTGTGCCTAGCTACCCGTAGTCTCCAGTCTGTCATCACGACCTTCTTCCCGTTAGTGCGATCGCGCTTGCACGTTCCTACACTTTGCTGTTGCCAGCTCCTGCGATGGTCGTTACCCAAGTAATCTGGGGTAAGGATCGTCTCGAACACGTTTCTGTTGTGGCGTTGAGTAGGTGGCGTTGTTAACCAGCACGTGCTTTGCTTGCTCAGTTTTTCTATTTCCCGTTAGCATCGAGCTGATTCAGTGGTGAGGTGACTTCGGGTGAGCAACACTTACCATGCTCGATGCAAGAGAGGATGTGTGAGAGAGGATGTGTGCGACACCTTTGTCGCTTTGGGTTGGTGGGATTCGCAGGATTGGTGAGTGCGAAATGTTCACTTGTTTGCGGCGGAAAATTGTTCTCGCCAAGGGCAGCCAACTGAAATAGGCTTCGCAGATTTCGCATACAGCCTATTTCAAATACACATAACTTGATAATTTACCATGCTGACTCCGGGCTTTAAGGATATGACCGTGACAGACACCACCCCTCTCCAATGTGGCTTGATTACATCTGCTACTCATCCCTAGATGGTACGGTAGTATTTGCCTTGAGGCGGCTCACAAATCACGAACAGATTACTCGTCCGTTAAAACAATTCCAATATACCGTAATCAAACTCAGCATAACAGTAATAAATGAATTCTCCTCAAGAAAGCAGCCTGCACCCTTGCCAGAGGAATGCTCTGGTCCTTATTTCACGCTAGGTGACGAAAAGGCCCACGGGCCTACACCACCTAGGTGCAGAGGAGCGCAGCTCGAGGAATCATTCCCCCACCCACAACCACACTCATCCCACCGAAAAATGGAGATAATTTTGGAAAAAAACAACCAGCAGCCCAGCAGCTTGCATGGAATGTGCAAGTGCCGCACCCCCGGACTCAGACTCATAGCGAGAAGAACCTGCGGAGGCCGTTGGGGCGGACCATGCCGGGGTTGGTGGAGAAGAAGAGGGTGTTGGCGACCTTCTGGTTGACGGCCTGCGTGGGGTTGCGCGCATCCCACCACACAGCCTTGCTCGGCGCCGCACACGGACCCGCCGTGACCGCTGCCTTGCCGTTGCCGCTGGTCTGAGCACACGCCACCACCACCCCCGTGCTTGTCACCGCCTCGCAACACGGGTGCGTCTGATTCGTCAGGCCTGGTGGCAGGAAGAAGAGCGGAGGGTAACAATGGTGAGAGGGTGTTGAGGCGTGCACTTGAGGAGGGAGGAGGAAGTATGAAACTGAAGCGATTCAAGGTGAGGATTGGGGGAAGGGGAAAGGAGAGGGAGAGCGGAGGGGGTTAACTTGAGGGAACAACCGAGAGAGAGGAGGGGGAAGTAAAGGGGGTTTTACCAGAGGTGGGGACTTGGATCATGGTCTTGAAGACGGCTGATTGCTTGAAGAGCACCAGGTTCGGCATGGGCAGGGCGGGGTTGTTTCTAAGCTTGTCCGTCTTCGTCAGCAGCGCGAAATTGTGGATAGTGGTAATCTGGTTACCAGCTTCGGTGCAGTTGATTCCACTGCCTGCCGCACGGCGCACAGCAGGAATGCAGCCGAGATTCGGCAGATCGATAACAACAATGTTGGAAGAGCCGGTGAGGTTGTAGAGAGACTGGATGACGTTGATGACGGTGTTGGAAACCGAGGAGGCTATGGCGACGAGATTCGTCATGTTGGGCTGCGCGCTGCTGAGCTCGGCGAGATAGTCGTTGGCTCCGATGCTCACCACAAAAAGGGCCTCGTCCAGCTTCTGTGAAGCAAGAAAGGAGAGCAAATCAACGAGAGGGGAAGATGTGAAAAAAAAAAAGATGAAAAGGAGATTCAATAGAAAGATGGGAAGAGCGGAAGATGAAAACGAGGGAGAAAGTAAGGAGGGCGTACGAAATGGGGATGGAAAAAGGGCGGGAGAAAGGCGTGGGGTGAGAGTAAGGTGTCAATCGGAATGCGTACGAGGTCAGGGTTGTTGGTGCGCTTGGCCTCGTTGAACCACTTCTTGAACTCGTTGAACTGCAGCTGCAGCCCGCGCGTCTGCCGCCATCCGAAAGGGAAGCCACGAGAAGGCGGAGGAAAGATGATGATGTGAGAAAGAAAAACGGCCAGGAGAAGGCGGACGATGTCGATAGGAGGTGGCTGAACCTACTAGGAATACATGTTTAGTGCAAGGGGTAAAAAAGAAAAGAAATGAAAAAACCAAGCCGGACTCTTCCCAAGAGAGGAGCTGGCGAGAGGTGAGAGGCTTTCTCGGTCAATACTAGTACCTTGCCGCCGTTGGTGCCGGATTTGGCGCCGGCGCCTACTATGGCGTAATCGAGGCCAGTGAAGGGAAGCGACGCATTGCGGGGCGCGAGATCGGCGCGCGGCGAGGCGATCCCGAGGAAGTCGGCTGTTGGAAGAAAGAGTGAAGGAGAGTAGGGAGATGGGACAAGATAAATAGAGTGGAGGTTGAGGAGACCAAGTTGGTAAGAAGTAGTAAACTTTAGACGCCGTTCTGGGCGAGGGAGAAAGATTCAATCTTGAGCTTGAACGTTTCAATTGAGTTATCAGATTCGTACCGAGGTAGTCGACGACGAGCTTGCCGTCGGAGAATCAAGGCCGTTTTCGGCGAGGGAGAAAGCTACAAGGAGCACAGCTAGATGCTTGATGTGAACAAGTTGAAAGGAACTCCCGCTCAGATTCGTACCAAGGTAGTCGACGACGAGCTTGCCGTCGGAGAAGCGACCTGACGCGGGCTTGAAGCTGAGGCCGTACGGCGCCTTGTTCGCCTTAACGGAAGCGCGCATGAAGTAATTCGCGTTGCCCACGTCCGCCGACTCGTCGCCGAACACGTACATCTGCGAGATCGTCGCGGCCGTCGCGCCGCGCGCGATGCACGCCAAGGCCGTGGCGAGCAGAAGCAGCGCGCAAGCAGATGCGAGCCTCGAAGCCATGTTGCGGCGCGTGGAGCGGGTAATTGGCCGAATTGTCGTGAAATTGAAAGTTTCAATTAGTTGAGAGGGCCACAGAGAGCAAGAGGAGGGATGTTGTGGAGCGGAGCAAGTGGCAGGCTTTAGTCGAGGTGGCTCACCCGAGTGGAGCAGGTGGGAAAATTGGAGTGGAGCAGGTGGCGATTGGTATGAGGAAGTGAAGACGCAAGGCTTTTTCTAATGCGGATGACCCGCCTGCGTCGAGTCGCGGTGGAGGCGTCGCGAGGATGAGTTGTGGACACATTACCTCGTGTAGGCCTCATGCGGAGCGAGCTACTATCTCTGTTCTGTTCATAAAATTGTGGAATCTCTGTTCAATTCTAAGCATCCAAAATGGTGGCTGCGAGCTTGCATACATGTTGTGACCGGAGGGGGAGTTCAAATTTATTCACACCGACACGAGATACCACCGGCAGCGAAAGATATTATTGAGCTCATGGAAACTCGTCTGAGCGTTACCCATTTTCGTCATCCTCGTGAAGCGACTCGCGACGCCGTGCAAGTTGGGACGACACTCTCATCACCTGGGTTGGGTGTGGTGTGGTGTGAGGGACGAGCCGCCGCGAATCGCGTTGAAATTGAATCACCCTGTGGCAGCCGAACATTGCCCAGGGGATGGGGGCAGGGGATGGGATGGAGCATCAGAACGCCGAGCCTCCTGGTTCGATCTGTTCGTACCAGGCAGAACACTTCGGTCAGACATGAAAATTGTGAAAAAAGTGTCGGACGTGAGCCTAAAACGTGACGCGAACCCCGCGCTAGGCTTGAACCCGCGCCGCGTCCTCCCCCCAATTCCCCCCCATGGCGGAAAAACTCCGCCCTAGTGTTCAGGGCTGGAAAGTGCACTCCCGTGGGTGGTCTCAGCCCACGGGGAATTAAAAATCCATGCCCCCTTCCACAATTTTCGTGTATACATTTACTCCACACTCAAAAAAACAAATAACCCTGTTAGGCCCGACGGCCTAAGTCCGCTAAAGAATTAGCGGGGTCGACTAAGTCGAGGATGAAACCCGGCGGAAGACTTTGGCGAAAGAACTATTGGCGAAATAGGCGAAGAAGTTACTGAGTAATTGAAGAAGAGTTGAATGAGAATTGATTGATAATGGCAAGTACAAGCAAGGTTTATATAGCATGCAAGAAACAAGGTTGGAAAGTGGAATGTGGGACCAAGAATTGGAGTGCAAGAAAAGTAGAGTGCCACGTGGCACTAGAGAATCTGAGAAGATAAGGATAATGGTGACTAGGAATGTACTGTTCGGAATGAACAGTAAACACCCCTCTAACACTACCCCCCGCCCAAGGAGGCGACGTCCGCGGCGCCTGCAGACTGAAGGTACGCTTGGAGGCAAGCGTTGTCAGGAGACAGCGAGGACGAAGGAACCCAGCTGTCGTCTGCTGCGTCGTAACCACGCCAACGAACCAAGAAGTCGATGAAAGTGACACCCCCCTGGAGACGGCGACGGTGCCTGAGGATGCGCTGGATCTGGTAGTCGGGCTCGTCGGTGTCAACAGCTACCGGCAGTGGAGTGCGATCACGGCCCGAGAAGGTGGCATTGGGATCGGTGTGTGGGCGAAGGAGAGACACGTGGAATGACGGGTGCATGCGGAAATGTGCGGGAAGGCGAAGGCGGTATGCGACTGGACCTAGTGCGCGCTCAATGACGAATGGACCAATGAAACGTGGACGAAGCTTGCTGTCCTGTGGCAGTCGGAGGTTGCGGCTATCCAAGAGAACACGGTCGCCGACTGCGAACGACACCTCACGACGACTGCGGTTGGTGGTGCGTGCCATGCGTGCATTTGCAAGCTCAAGGTGCTTCCTCACGTGATCATGAATGAAGGTGAGATGCTGGTGGAAGTTGTCCGCACGAGGGACTGTGGGTGTGAGATCGACACGAGTGGGGACATTGGGGTGCTGACCGTAAAGTGCAAAGAACGGTGACATGCCTGTGGCGGAGTGGTGCGTGTTGTTGTAGGCGAACTCTGCCATGCTCAGCTTCTTGTCCCATGCGGCTGCGTCGTGCATCGTGATGCTGCGAAGGATCTGCTCCAAGGTCTGGTTCACACGCTCGGTCTGTCCGTCTGTCTCTGGGTGGTACGCAGACGACATGGCTAAGCGAGTCCCAAACAGTGCGAAAAGCTGCTTCCAGAACTTCGAAGTGAAACGAGGGTCGCGGTCTGAGATGATGGAATCTGGAACCCCGTGCAGTCGGACTACGTTATCTACGAACAGCGTCGCGGCTTCCTCTGCTGTGACCTTGCCGTGCGTGGGGATGAAATGCGCTGCTCGAGAAAACTTATCCACTACTACGAAGATGGCGTCGTGATCCCTAACTGTGCGCGGTAAAGCCATGATGAAGTCCATGGTAACTACCTGCCAAGGGCGGTCGGGCGGTGGAATCGGCTGCAAGAGTCCTGCTTTGCGCTGGCGAGAGGACTTCGTACGCTGACACGTGTCGCACGAGCGAATGTAATCCTCTACGTCTGCTGCAAGCCCGGGCCAGTAGTACGTGCGACTAAGCGTCTTAGCCGTCTTATCTGCTCCAAAGTGCCCTGCACTAACTACGTCGTGCGCCTCTGAGAGAAGGAGCTGTCGAAGAGGGCGGTAGGCTGGAACCCAAATCCGTGTGGTACCCTTCCGTATGTAGACACTACCCTGCACCTCTGCTCCTGCGGGCGGCTGCGGTGTGAAGTCGGGATCTACTGTGTAACCGTGCTCGAAGAGTGCTGTGAGAAGTGGGTGGCCAGCAGTGACTGTGAGACTGGCGAGCTGACAACTAGGGCGAGTGAGCGGATCTGCTGGGTTGCGCACGCCTGGCTTGTACTCTATCCTGTAGTGAAAGCTCCCTTCCATGAACTCCATCCACCTAGCCTGGCGACGACTCAGCTGCGGCTGCGACTTGAGGAAACGAAGCGAACAGTGGTCCGTGCGTATAACACTATCTGCCCCCTCTAGGTAGCACCTCCACACCTTATACGCATGGATGATCGCGAGCGCCTCCTTGTCGTGTATGGGATAGTTCAACTCCGCTCCCCTAAGCTTACGCGACTCGTACGCGATCGGCTGCAACCCGCGTCCCTGGTCCTGAAGAAGCACTGCTCCTATGGCCTGATCGGAAGCATCGGTCACTACAACGTATGGGCGAGTGGGATCAGGGTACGACAGTGTCGGTGAAGACGTGAGCGACTGCTTCATCTGCTCGAACGCCTGCTGCTGCGCTGGACCCCAAACGTACTCTACGCCCTTCCGAAGTAGGTCGGTGAGTGGACTAGCGATCGATGCGTAACCCTGAACGAAACGACGGTAGTAGTTCGCGAAACCGAGGAAGCTCTGCAACTCCTTGACTGAGGTCGGTGCTACCCAATCCTGTACTGCTGCGATCTTCTTCGGGTCAGTCCTAATGCCACTAGCGGATACGACGTGTCCTAGGAACTCGACCTCTGGAAGGAAGAACTCGCACTTCGACTGCTTAGCGTATAACTGCTCCCTCCGTAAGACCTCGAAGACCTTCTGCAAGTGCTGCACGTGCTCATCTTTCGTCTTAGAGAACACTAGGATGTCGTCTAGGTAAATGACAACGAACGACCCTAGGAACTCGGAGAGGACTGTGTTCATGAGCGTCTGAAACGTCGTTGGGGCGTTGGTCAATCCGAACGGTAGAACCCTAAACTCGTACAACCCCTGCTTCGTACAAAACGCCGTCTTGTGCTGGTCCTCTGGAACTACTCGAATCTGGTGGTAACCCGAACGAAGGTCGATCTTTGAGAAGACTCTAGCGCCCTGCACTGCATCGAGAAGATCCTCTACTCTCGGCACCGGGAATCTATTCTTGACGGTGGCGGCGTTCAGTGCGCAGTAATCTATGCACATCCGTAACCCTCCGTCTTTCTTGGGTGCGAAAAGTATCGGTGCGGCCCAAGGCGATCTAGATGGCTGTATGAAACCCTGTGCGAGAAAGTGCCTAACTTGCTGCGTCATCTCCTCTGTCTCCGCTGGACTCAACCTCCACTGCGGCTTCGCTACTGGCCTGCTCCCCGGCTCCAATTCTATTCGATGGTCTACTGCTCGGCTGGGAGGCAACCCTGGGGGCAACTCGTCGGGGAAGACGTCTGCGAACTCTGCTAACAGTGCACTCACCTCAGCAGGAAGAGTCGCCTTCTCACTAACTGCTGCACTCCCTCCTTTCCCCTCCTCGGCTTCCACCTCCTCAAGAAAAACCGCGAAGATCCGTGCCGCACGCTTCACTAACTGTCGCACACGAACAGCATTAATGATAGCTGTGGATGATGTGGCCCCATCGCTCCACTGTGGCAGCTCCTGGAACTCCCCGTCTACCTTGACGCTGCAGCTTCCGTGAGCCCAATCGAACTGAGTACTAACCGTCCGTAGCCAATCTCTCCCGAAGATAAAATCGTATCCGTCCAGCGTCGCAGAGTCAAAATCACGCCTGACTGTGATCGGTCCTAGCACTACGCGCAACTTGCGGATGATCGGTCCTATGTGAAGTGGCGTCCCATCTACCATGCGAGCGTCCTTGAAGTTGACTGCTGAATCTGCTTCGAGATGGAGACGAGAAACTAACGATGAAGAGACGAACGAGTGGCTAACTCCGCTATCTACGAGAATCTTAACAGGAACTCCGCGAAGCTTCCCTAGAAGCACGACTGGACGATCAACAGTGTCTACCTCGTTCTCCGTAGATGACTGCTGCGAAGCCGTCTCCTCTACGTTGGTAGACGTGGCGGGTACGGGAACCTCCACACCAGCTAGCGACCCGCTATCTACTGGCGGTTTCCGTTTCCCTTCTGCCGCTCCTTAAGCTGTGGGCAGTCTCGCTTCATGTGTCCCGGCTTTTTGCAGTAGTGAC